GAATGCGGAAATCATTGGACAATCTCTTTGATATCCCATGCGAGTAAAGTTTTGCTGAAGGTAATACAGAAATAGCTGTAAGCATACATTGAAAGAGAACTTCCATAGGATCAAACTGGATTCAGAAGAGACCATGGAATAAGAGATATCATTGCTGATGTGTGACGGATCTTGGCTGAAAGCAGAGAATATCAGAAAGATGTTTACCTGTGCTTTATTGACTATGCAAAGGCTTTTGATTGTGTGAATGGACAAGCTATGGACAATATTGTGAAGTATGAGTATTCTAGAACACTTAATTGTGCTCATGGGGAATCTGTACCTGGACCAAGAGGCAGTTGTTTGAACAGAACATAAGAACACTGCATGGTTTAAAAAGTAAGAAAGATGTACTACAGGGTTGTATTCTTTCACCATACTTGTTCAACCTGTATGCTGAGCAAATAATTTGAAAAGCTGAGTTATTTGAAGAAAAACATGGCATTCAGATTGAAGGAAGACTCATTAACAACTTGCGATATTCAGATGATACAACCTTGCATGCTGAAAGTGAAGAGGACCTAAAACATTTACTGATGAGGATCAAAGAGCATAGCCTTTGGTATGGATTGCATCTCAATGTAAAGAAAACAAAAATCCTCACCACTGGACCATAAACAACATTCTTATCAACGGAGAAAAGATCGAAGTTGTCAAGGACTTCATTCTTCTTGGATCAACTGTCAACACTCACGGAAGCAGCAGTCAAGAAATGAAACAACGTATTGCAGTAGGCAAATCTGCTGCACAAGACCTTTTTAAAGTGATGAAGAGCAAAGATGTCAGCTTGAGGACTAAGGTGTGCCTGACCCAATCCATGGTATTTTCAATAACCTCATATTCATGTGAAAGTTGGACAGTAAATAAGGAAGACCGTAGAAGAATTGATGCTTTTGAGTTATGATGTTGCAAGAGAATATTGAAAGTGCCATGGGCTGCCCACAGAACCAACAGATCTGTGTTGGAAGAAGTGCAGCCAGAGTGCTCCTTGGAGGCCAAGATGGCCAAACTTCATCTCTCATACGTTGTCAGGAGGGACCAGTCACTGGAGAAGGATATCATGTTAGGTAAGGTGGAGGGTCAGAGAAATAGAGGAAGACCTCCAGTGAGAAGGAATGGCCAAGTTGCAGCATCAATGGATTTAAGCATGGCAACAGTACTGCGGTTGACGTTAAGATGGGGCAGTGTTTCGTTCTGCTGTGCATAAGGTCACTATGAGTCGGTATCGACTCGATGGCACCTAACAACAACAAAGTCGAGGGTCAGTGAAAAAGAGGATGACTTCTAACGGGATGAATTGACACAGTGGCAGCAGCAATAGGCTCAAATGTAGGAATGCCTCTGAGAACGGCACAGTACCCGACAGTGTTTCATTTTGTTGTATATAGTGTCGCTGTGAGTCGGAACTCACTGGACAGCATCTAACAACAACATGTGAATTTTATCTGACAACCAATCTAAACCCATTTCTGTAGAGTTGATTCTGATTATAACAACTTTATAGAATAGAGCAGAACTGCCCCTATAGGGCTGCAAAGGCTATAATCTTTATGGAAGCCAACAGCCACATCTAAAAGTGGTGCGTTGGAACAAATGACTTTTCAGTTAAGAGTTGAACAATTACCTATCATGGTACCAGAGCTCCTTAATCTGAAAACACTTGCAGTATTTTTACACAAATAATGCATATGTTATATATTTCTTTAGCAACCACACCCCTCTAGGTATACTCTAGCTAGCTCATTTTTTTTACAGAATGGGGAAAGAGGGTAGAGTAGGCAAAAAAAAGTATGCACACTGTTTACATTAAAATATGGCAATCTAAAGCACAGATGATAACTTTACATGACAAAGAGTCTGATGATGAAACAATGCGGGTAGAGTAAATGAAAATAGTGACACAATGTGACGTATACAATTGATGTTATTGAACTGTTCATGTAAAAACTGTGACTAACATATGCCTGGTTTTATATTAACACCAAAAATAATTATTGAACAAAAGGAATAATACATTCTATTCAACTGGGGATAGAGGAGCAGAAGCAGCATAAGTAGTAATGGTCACACAAACAGTAGAAGCCATAGTTGTTTAAACCCTACCCCTGGCCCTATTATATTACAATTATTACTACGACCACCACCATGATCAACATATTAAAGCTTGCATTTTATTACAACAAAGATCCTAGTTAAATTGTGGTGGGATTTATAGATATACATCCACAGTAGACTCTTTCAAGAACTCAAACAAAGAGGAAATAATTTTAAAGCTATAATGAAACTATATTTCATTTTTCCTTCCAGATTTAAAAATTTTAGTGGGTTCTAGTTTTGCTGTTAGTTTTTGCTTTCTGCTCCTAAAATTTTATATCAGTAAAAGGAATATACAGGGACTGATTAAACAATAGCACTGCTATTCATCTTGCCTTTACGTCATCTATTTCAAAAGTGTAGTTTTGTTTTGTTTTTGTTTGCTTAAGAATATAAAGGGATAGTGGTAAATTAAAAAAAAAAAAAAATACACTGAACACTTCAGATAAAGATTTTGGTGGTCCCTTGTGATTTTTTTTTCTATCAAAGGAAAGAGAAAGAGAAATTGTCCAGACTTAAGACAAAGTCTACAAAACAGGCTACTCTATTAAAAATATCATGGCTTGGGTCAGGTTCACCTTAGTCCTCAAACTGACACCTTTGTTCTTGAGTACTTAAGAAGTTTTGTGCAGCAGATTTGTTAATGTAATACATGGTTTGATATCTGTCATTTGATTTCTTGACTGCTGCTTCCATGAGTGCTGATGATGGATCCAAGCAAGAAACGTCAACCTTTTCTCAATTTATCATTGTTATTTTTTTTGTAGACTGGTGAGGATTTTTTTTTTTCCTTTACATTGATGTACAACCCATTCTGAAAGTGATGGTCTTTATCTTCATCAGTAAGTATTTTAAGTCCTTTCAGTAAGCAAGGTTGTATCATCTGCTTCTTATTAATGTTTGCTAATGTTTCTTCCTCCAACCCTGATACCACATTCTTTTTCTTATAATGCAGCTTCTCGGATTATATGTCCAACACACAGATTGAATAAGTATGGTGAAAGAATACAACCCTGGCACACACCTTTCCTGATTTTAAACCATTCAGTGCCCCCTTGTTCTGTTCAAGAAACTGTATCTGTGTTGATGTACAGGTCCCTCATGATCAAAATTAAGGGTTCTGGAATACTCATTCTTCGAAATGTGATCCATAGCTTGTCATGATCCATACAGTAGAATGTCTTTGCACAGTCAATAAAGCAAAGGTAAACATGCACTTAGTAATCTCTGCTTTCAGCTAAGATCTATCAGATGTCAGAAATTATATTCCTCATTTCATGTTCTCTCCTGAATCCAGCTTGAACCTCTGGAAGTTCCCTATCAATGTACCGTTGCAGCCTTTTCTGTATTATCTTTAGCAAAATTTTCCTTGCATGTGGTATTAGTGATATTGTCAGATGATTTCCGCATTCTGTTGGGTTATCTGTCTTTGGAATGGACACAAATATGGGTCTCTTCCAATTAGCTGACCAGGTAGTTGTCTTCCAAAATTCTTGGCATAGATGCCTCCAATTTTCCATCAGTTTGCTGAAAGATTTCAATTTGCATTCCTTTAATTCCCAGAGCTTTATTCTTTGCCAATGCCTTCAGTGACACTGGACTTCTTCATTCATTACCATTGGCTTTTGAATGTATGCTATTTCTTGAAATGGCTGAACATTGTCTATTATTTTTTTGGTATAGTGACCCCTGCATTACTTCCATTTTCTTTTGATGCTTTCTGTATCATTCAATAATTTGACCATAGATACTTTCAATATTGCAAGTCAATGATTGGATTTTTTTCTTCAGTTCTTTCAGCTTGAGAAATGCTGAGTGTTCTTCCCTTTTGATTTTCAAACTCCAGGTCTTTGCACATTTACTTATAACACATCACTTTGTCTTTCCAAGGTACCCTTGGAAATTTACTACTCAGGTCCGTCAGCTTCTCATTTATTCCATTTGCTTTAGCATCTCTATGCAAACAAGCTAATTCCATAGTCTCCTACTTTGAGATGGTAACTCTTCTCCACTGATATTTTGAGAGTCTTTTGGCAGTCCAACCTGAGAGGTTCATCTTCCATCACTATATCTGACAATATTCTAACAGTATTCATAATGTTTCAATATTCAACATTCTGGTGTTGACAATGTTCAAATGCTAATTATAAAGTTGTCAGTGGCTAAACATTCAGAAGTAGTCAGCCTCTCCTTCCTAGTCTGTTTCAGTCTGGAAGCTCACCTGAAACCTGTCCAGCACAGATGAACCTGCCTGTATATAAAAGACGGGTGGCATAGCTTCCAGCACCACAGGAATTTATAAGTCATGACAGTATGACTAACTGACAGATGAGTATATAGAAAATTGGAGTGGGCACAAATATGGATCTCTTCCAATTGGCTGGTCAGGCAGTTGTCTTCAAAATTTCGTCCTTAATTGAAAGAACCAATGTATATATGTATATAACATTTGTTTCTGTGTATGTGATATGTTGTTCTAGATGTTAATTAAAAATTTTTTAAAGTTGAATACAAAACAACACAAAATTCTAAAAGAGAGAAATATAAAATACTAAATGAAAAACCTATCTAAAAAAACAAAACTCTATTTAATGTTGTGCTACTTAAAGGCAATTTAGCATATTATAAATGCTGTTTGCAATGCTTACTATGAATATTTAAATAATGCAATCTGGAATGCTAAACTTACACAGAAAAACACCAGAGGGGGAAAGAAGGTTATAAATGTACATAAATTTCTATCACAGATATATTCTACTTGTCACTTGAGTTACAAATTTAACAAGTTATGCATTTCTAAAATTTTTTAGATAAAATCTAAACAAATTTCTACTTTCAAAAACTATTATCATATTCTAAAGACGTACCTCTTGTATGTAATTATTTTTCTCTAAGATGGAAAGAGCAACAGCTGCACACTCCAGTGTAGAAAGGCAACTATTAGTTGGTTGCATTCGAATTACATACTGACTAGAAATGCTAGTATTTAACTGCACCTGAAACAAAAATAAAATGAAATAATTCAGTTTTTGTTTTAAATTCAAAACTTTAAATATGTGTTTTAAATACCTATTATCTTCCATCCAAAAATGTCAGCAATTTAGAAATATTAAATGTATTAATTACATCTTTTGTCATTGCTATTGTTCAACTGCATGATATCCTTCTCCAGTGACTGTTCCCTCCTGACAATATGTCCAAAGTATGAGAAAGGAAGACCCCCAACAAGATGGATTGGCCAGGTGGCAGCATCAATGGACTCAAGTGTGGCAACAGTAGTGAGGTTGGCCCAGGATCAGGCAGTGTTTCGTTCTGCTGTGAATAAGGTCACTATGGGTTGGTGCCAACTTGATGGCACCTAGCAACAACAATTGTTCAACTGCAAAAGCAATAGTTACACATGTATTTGACATATACCCAGAATATATACAGAACTCCTATTGTTATTAAGTACAGTCTAGTCTGTTCCAATTCATAGTGACCCTGTATAGGGTTTCCGAGGAGCAGCTGGTAAGTTTGAGCTGCCAACCTCATGGTTCAAACTGACCTTAAGGTTGAGTATTTAACCTCTGCTGCCTCACAAGAAGTCCACAAAACTCCTATAAGTATCAAAAATAAAAAGACCAATAACTTCTTCATAGAAAGTAAAAGAGTTAACTGTTGCTGCTGTTAGGTTCCATTCAGTCGGTTCCAACTCATAGCGACCCTATCTATGCACAACAAAATGAAACACTGCCTGGTCCTGGGCCAACCTCACAATCATTACCACTCCTGAGCCCATCGCTGCTGCCACTGCGCCGACTCATCTGATTGGGGATCTTCCTTTTTTTTTTTTTTGCCAACTCTCCACATTATCAAACATGATATTCTTCTCCAGTGTCTGGTCCATCCTGATAATATGTCCAAAGTATAAGAGATGAAGTTTGGTCATCTGGCTTCTATGGAAAACTCTGGCTGTAGTTCTTCCAACACAGATTTGTTTGCTCTTCTGGCAGTCCACGGTACTTTTAATAGTCTCCTCTAATACCATAACTCAAATGCATCAATTCTTCCATGATCTCTTTTATTCAATGTTCATCTTTCACATACATATGAGGTTATTGAAAATACCATGCCTTGGGTTAGGCATACCTTAGTCCTCAAACTGGCATCTTTGCTCTTCAAAGAGATCTTGTGCAGTACATTTGCTTAATGCAATATGTCATTTGATTTCTTGAGTGCTGCTTCTATGAGTGTTGATGGTTGCACAAAATGAAGTCTTTGACAACTCCAATCTTTTCTCCATTGATATGGATGTTGTTTGCTGGTTCAGAAGTGAAGGTTTTTGTTTTCTTTGCATTGAGATACAACCAACAGTGAAGGCTGTGGTATTTTATCTTCATCAGTAACTATTTTAAGTCCTTTTCACTTTCAGCAAACATGGTTGTATTATCTGCACATCGCAAGTTGTTAGTGAGACTTCCTCCAATCCTGATGCCATGTTTTTCTTCATATAATCCAGCCTCTCAGATTATGTGCTCAGCATACAGACTGAATAAACATGGTAAAAGATTACAACTCTGGCAAACACTTTTCCTAATTTTAAAACTTTTGGTGTTGCCTTATTCTATTGGAACAACTGCCTCTTAGTCTAGGTACAGGTTCCTCATGAGCACAATTAAATGTTCCAGAACACTCATACTTCGCAATGTTGTCCATAGCTTGTCATGATCCACACAATCGAAAGCCTTTGCATAGTCAATAAAGCACAAGGTAAGCATCTTTCTGGTATTCTCTGCTTTCAGCCAAGTTCCATCTGACACCAGCAATGATATCCCTAATTCTACATCCTCTTCTGAATCCAGCTTGAACCTCTGGAAGTTCTCTATCAATATATGGTTGCAGCCATTTTTGGATTACCTTTAGTAAAACTTTACTTGCATGGGATATCAATGATATTATCCAATGATTTCCACATTCCATTGGATTACCTCTATTTGGAATGGGCACAAATATGGATCTTTTCCAGTAAGTTGGTCATGTAGTTGTCTTCCAAATTTCTTGGTATAGATAAGTGCATGCCTCCACTACCGCATCAGTTTGACGAAAGATTTTGATTTATATTCCACCAATTCCCAGTGCATTGTTCTTTGTCAATGCCTTCAACTCACCTTGGACTTCTTCTTTTAAGATCATTGGCTTTTGATCATATACTACCTCTTAAAATGGTTGAACAGTGACCATTTCTTTTTGGTACAGTGACTCTGTGAACGAATTGATTATTCAATTTATAAAAGAATATATAAGCCTGGCAAATAGGTACACTAAAAACACACCAATGTATTTATATATTGAGCAAATTAAATGCAAACTGAACTATGAAAAGATACCATTTTATATTACTAATATAGCTAACCCATTCCAAAGAAAGGTGAACACTATGTCCTTTAGTATTGATTGCACCTCAATGTAAAGAAAATCCTCATAGCTAGAACAATAAATAATATCATGATGAGTGCAGGAAAAATTGAATTGTCAAAGACTTCAATTTGTTTGGAACCACAATCAATACTCATGGGAGCAGCAGTCAAGAAATTTGCATTAGGTAAATCTGCTGTGAAAGCCCTCTTTAAAGTGCTACAGAGCAAAGATGTCAGTTTGAGGACTCATATGTATGTGAAAGTTGGACAATGAAAAAGGAAGACTGAAGAAAAAACTATTCAGTTCCATTACAGTATTGGGGAAGAATATCAAAAGTACTATGGACTACCAGAAAAATAAGCAAATATATCTTAGAAGAAGTACAACCAGAATGTTCTTTAGAAGAAAAGATGGCAAGACTTCATCTTTCATACTTTGGACATAAAATCAAGAGGAATCAGCTCCTGGAGAAGGAGGTCATGCTTGGTAAAGTAGAGGGTAGACAAAAAAGAGCAAAATTCTCAATGAGACAGATTGACACTGTGGCAGCCACAGTGGGCTCAAATAAAACAACAATTGCACAGAACCAGGGAGTGTTTTGTTTGTTGCACATAGAGTTGTTACGAATTGCAAATGACTGGATGATACCTACCACCAACAAATGGGTACATGAAACAATAACATAGCTAAAATGATAAAAGACTACCACCACCAAGTGGCAAGAATATGTAAGAAATAGACTCCCATATATTGGTGTTAAGAGTGAAAACATTATACCCACTTGGGATAATTATTGAAAATTTTTTATTATTTTATGATTTATCCTGCCATTACTTCTTGATATAAATGTGAGTGTGTATAAATGGACAGGTGTCTGTGAGTGTGTATATACAATGAAAGACATATACACACACAGACAAGGATGCTTCAGAAAATTCATGGAAAAATTCAATTACGGTTTAATTATATTTTCCATGAACTTTTTGAAACCCCCCTATATGTATGTTTGTGTGTGTATGTATGCTCCCTTTTTATATAGAGAGTAGCATATTAAACATACTTTTCTCTGTGGAAATAATACTTTAGACCTGATTATTTAGGCAGAGTCAGAGATGAGAAAGGCAATGAAAAACTGAATGTCAAAATTTTAGCCTTCTGATTCCTAGTTTAATTAAATAAAAATAAAGCGGTCTTATACTCATAAAGCCATATCGATAGCCTGCACTGTGATCAGAATCATATTTAAGATATGTGGGCAGATGAGAATTTTTATTTTTACTCATTAAATATGCAAGCATGGGGCTTAGGGACAGTGGTATCTAAGCAGCTCAATCAATTTTGGTGTCCTCTTTTATTTTCTTACATCCTTATAGTTCTAGGAGTCTATTATTTTATTTTATACCAAAAAAAAAACTTTTCCATTCATGGCATCTTGTCCCTCAATCCATTCCCTCCTCTGTCTCATGAATCCACTAAATATGTGAATAGGATATTTCTACTATATAGACATATATGTATCAATTGTGTGGATCATGACAAGCTATGGACAACACTGCAAAGTGTAAGTATTCCAGAACACTTAATTGTGATCATGAGGAATCTGTACCTGGACCAAGATGCAGTTGTTCAAACAAACATGGGAACACTAAATGGTTTAAAATTAAGAAAGGTGTGCGACAGGGTTGTATTCTTTCACCATACTTATTCAACCTGTATGCTAAGTACATAATCCGAGAAGCTGGATTATATGAAGAAAAACGTGGCATCAGAATTGGAGGAAGACTCATTAACAACCTGCGATATGCAGATGATACAACCCTGCTTGCTGAACGTGAAGAAGACTTAAAACATTTAGTGATGAAGATCAAAGAGCACAGCCTTCGGTATGGTTTGCATCTTAATATAAAGAAACAAAAATCCTCACCACTGGACCAATAAACAACATTCTTATCAACAGAGAAATTATTAAAGTTGTCAAGGACTTCATTTTTCTTGGATCAACTATAAACACTCATGGAAGCAACAGTCAAGAAATCAAACAATGTATTGCATTAGGCAAATCTGGTGCACAGGAACTTTTTAAAGTGTTGAAGAGCAAAGATGTCAGCTTGAGGACTAAGGTGCACCTGACTCAAGCCATGGTATCTTCAATAACCTCATATGCATGTAAAAGTTGGACAGTGAATAAGGAAGACCACAGAAGAATTGATGCTTTTTAGTTATGGTGTTGGAGGAGAATATTGAAAGTGCCATGGGCTGCCAAAAGAACCAACAGATCTGTGTTAGAAGTACAGCCAGAGTGCTCCCTGGAGGTTAGGATGGTCAAACTTTGTCGCTCATACTTCAGATATATTGTTAGAAGGGACCATTCGCTGGAGAAGGATATCACATTTGGTAGGGTAGAGGGTCAGAGCAAAATAGGAAGACCCCCAGCGAGATGGATTGGCAAAATGGCAGCATCAATAGGCTCAAGCGAGGCAACGATAATGAGGTTGGTCCAGGATCAGGCATGTTTCATTCTGCTGTGCACAAGGTTGCTATGAGTCGTTACTGACTCGATGCACCTAACAACATAACAACAACAACAACAAATATA